GCTACACAAGGAACTGCCGGCACTGGAGCCACTCAAGGAACACCAGGTACAGGAGCAAGCACACTAACACCAGGAACCGGAGCCACCCAAGGAACACCGGGCACAGCACCAACTGGAGCAACAGGAGCTACTGGAGCAACAGGAGCAACTGGAGCTACTGGAGCCACAGAAGGCACTGGAGCAACACAAGGTACTGGCGCTACACAAGGAACTGCAGGCACTGGAGCCACTCAAGGAACACCAGGTACAGGAGCAAGCACACTAACACCAGGAACCGGAGCCACCCAAGGAACACCGGGCACAGCACCAACTGGAGCAACTGGAGCTACTGGAGCCACAGAAGGCACCGGAGCAACACAAAGTACTGGCGCTACACAAGGAACTGCAGGCACTGGAGCTACTCAAGGAACACCAGGCACAGGAGCAAGCACACTAACACCAGGAACCGGAGCCACCCAAGGAACACCAGGCACTGCACCAACAGGCGCTACTGGAGCTACTGGAACTCAAGAAACAACTGCAGTGACGACTACTGTGATATGTCCACTGACAGAAGGTGAGTGTGAACCCTGCAGATATTGATGTTTGGCAGGAAAGTGCGGTGTTAGGGATTTCGGCGAATGATGCACGTTTGTTATTGTGATAGATGTGAGTGATATTCATTGAGGTACGAGATTAAAGATATGAATAAGGGATCATTGTGTAGATGGCATAGGAAAGACGTGTAAGGTTCGTTTGATATGAAGTGTACCGAACTGTGTTAAGCGTATCCTGTACACAGGTGTGCAGTTGGACATTTTGTGAAACTTTCACCGAACTCTGAGCGGTTTATATCGGGAAATTGAATTCGTCGAAATTGACGTCTGTTGAATATGTGCAACTATGCGCGAAATGGGACTTTTTTTTATAAGGGACGAAAATTAGAATTGCACCTGCAACTGACCTTTCTCCTGTATTGAAGTAGCGGATTAAAATCTTTACGATTCCTTTAAAACTATGCCGGGTACATGTTTGTCATAATCGTTATGACTCTCGGTGGTTTTATGTACTCTCACATTTTTCGTCATATGTGTAGGTATGGGCAATCCACAATATATCAACAACGCCACCTTCCAAGGAGCTGACAACAATCCCGACGTTCAGAATCTCAATCCAGGCACACAAGGTGTTGACTTCAACGAGCCTAACTCATCGGTCCTCATTCCATTTACACCTGGCATAACACCCATCCTCAGCTCAGTTTCCGTTCCTCCGAACACATCTAACGTCGACAGCATCACTGTCATCGTCAGAGGACCCGACGGAACAGTATTTATCAACGAAACCACACCATCCGGAACCACAATAGTCACTGCCACCTACACTCAACCTCTACCCGAAAACAGCACAGTTACTATTACGTTCCACACACCAGATGATTCGCCTGCAGAAGGTGTCACAGTTTCTATTATTGCATGCTACACGCCATCGGAAGCGACGACAGTTATTACAAGTGGAACAGTGCCACCAACTATTTCTGGCTCAACTCCATCCATCACCATCAGCAGTGTCATCACTCAAACAACTGGCACTACAGCCACACCCGGTACAGGATTGAGCACATTGACACCAGGAACCGGAGCCACCCAAGGAACACCGGGTACAGCACCGACAGGAGCCACAGGAGCTACTGGCGCTACTGGCGCTACTGGCGCTACTGGAACTCAAGAAACAACTGCAGTGACGACTACTGTGATATGTCCACTGACAGAAGGTGAGTGTGAAATCTGCACATATTGATGGTTAGCAGGAAAGTGCGGTGTTAGGGGTTTCGGCGAAGGATTCACGTTTGTTGTTGCCATAGATGTGAGTGGTATTCATTGAGGTACGAGATTTGAGATAGGCAGAAACAATGATTGTGTACATGCCATAGGAGACACCTGTTAGGTTCGGCTGATATGAACCCAACCGAACCGTCTTAAGCGTATGGTGTACACAGTTGTGCGTTTGGACGTTTTCTGAAACTTTCACCGAGCTTTGAGCGGTTTGTATCGTGAAGTTCAGTTGGATGAAATTGACGTCTGTTGAACTTGTCCAACTATGCCGAAATAGAACTTTTTTGGTAAACGAGGAAAATTTGAATTGCACCTGCAACTCACCTTTCACTGGTAAGAAAAGAGTTGCATTAGAATCTCTACGCATCCTTTAAAACTTTCCCGGATACAGGTTTGTCATAATTGTTATGACTATCGGTGGTTTTGTGTACTCTCACAAAACAGTGCGAGTAGGTTTCATTTACCGATAGCGTGATACAAAAATATGCGGTTCAATGTACTGGACGATTTTACTGAATGCGCGGGCACTTCAGTTCATGTCAGAATAAGCGCATTGGGTAATGGCCGGCCATTATCCACGTCTGTGCTATGCCGTTTGTAACGACAAACTGGTTGAGTAGCTGACCGCTTCTCACGGTATCGATGTTAATTGACTACTCTACATGAGCAGATTGTTTCTCTTTCATAATAAGACACGCGCTTATATAGAGAAGAGGAAAGAGAGATATGACCCGGAGATTGTATGATATAGAGGTGAGAGAATAAAGAACAGAAAGAGATGAACGATATCATCATCGTTACACCGTTTCCTGAGGCCAAAAGCACCAAATCTGTTTCTCTTAGCCGCGCTCCTAATCAAACGTACTTCTCACATTTTTCGTCATATGTGTAGGTATGGGCAATCCACAATATATCAACAACGCCACCTTCCAAGGAGCTGACAACAATCCCGACGTTCAGAATCTCAATCCAGGCACACAAGGTGTTGACTTCAACGAGCCTAACTCATCGGTCCTCATTCCATTTACACCTGGCATAACACCCATCCTCAGCTCAGTTTCCGTTCCTCCGAACACATCTAACGTCGACAGCATCACTGTCATCGTCAGAGGACCCGACGGAACAGTATTTATCAACGAAACCACACCATCGGGAACCACAATAGTCACTGTCACCTACACCCAACCGCTACCCGAAAACAGCACAGTTACTATTACGTTCCACACACCAGATGATTCCCCAGCAGAAGGTGTCACAGTTTCTATCATTGCTTGCTACACGCCATCAGAAGCGACGACAGTTATTACAAGTGGAACAGTGCCACCAACTATTTCTGGCTCAACTCCATCCATCACCATCAGCAGTGTCATCACTCAAACAACTGGCACTACCGCCACACCCGGCACAGTACCAACTGGAGCTACGGGAGCTACGGGAACTCAAGAAACAACTGCAGTGACGACTACTATGATATGTCCACTGACCGAAGGTGAGTGTGAAACCTGTAGATATTGGTGGTTGGCAGGAAAGTGCGGTTTTACGGGTTTTGGCGAATGATTCACGTTTGTTTTTGTCATAGATGTGAGCGATATTCGTTGAGGTACGCGATCAGAGATAGGAAGAAATTATGATTGTGTAGACGCCATAGGTGAGACCTGTCAGGTTTTCGTGACACGAACTGTACCGAACCGTCTTAAGCGTATGCTGTAGACAGTTGTGTGTTTTGACTTTTTCTGAAATTTTCCCGGAACTTTGAGCGGTTTGTATCGCGAAATTCAGTTTGTGGAAATTGGCGTCGGTTAAAACTATTCAACTATGCCGAAATAGTACCTTTTTTCTGAAGGAGGAAAATTGGCATTACACCTGCAACTTCCCTTTCCCTGGTATGAAAGTAGTTCCATTAAAATCTCCACGATTCCTGTAAAACTTTCCCGCCTAGATGTTTGTCATAATCGTTATGACTATCGGCGGTTTTATGTTCTCTGACATTTTTCATCATATCTGTAGGTATGGGCAATCCACAAAATATCAACAACGCCACCTTCCAAGGTGCTGACAACAATCCCGACGTTCAGAATCTCAATCCAGGCACACAAGGTGTTGACTTCAACGAGCCAAACTCATCGGTCGTCATTACATTTACACCTGGCATAACACCCATCCTCAGCTCAGTTTCCGTTCCTCCGAACACATCTAACGTCGACAGCATCACTGTCATCGTCAGAGGACCCGACGGAACAGTATTTATCAACGAAACCACACCATCCGGAACCACAATAGTCACTGCCACCTACACTCAACCTCTACCCGAAAACAGCACAGTTACTATTACGTTCCACACACCAGATGATTCGCCTGCAGAAGGTGTCACAGTTTCTATTATTGCATGCTACACGCCATCGGAAGCCACGACAGTTATAACAAGTGGAACAGTGCCACCAACTATTTCTGGTTCAACTCCATCCATCACCATCAGCAGTGTCATAACGGGAACCACCCGAACACCAGCGACAGGCTTGACGTCAGTTAGTTTAGCCACGGGACCAGCAGCTACTACGACCACAGTTATCTGCCCTCTTACAGAAGGTATGTTTCTTTTTAATGTAAAAAGACTTCGCTTTATTGCGGCTGAAGGAGTTCTGCAAAAGTTCGGCATCTATCGAAGCGCTGAGAGGAAGAAGAGGCTAAGCGAATTAGTACGCAATCACCTTGCACCTGCTTAATGCAGATGCTACGTTCTATCAAAGAACATTTGTTAATGACGTCATATGATTAAAGGTTTGATTGGACAGTAGTTTGGTTGTCTAGGTTTTAATTTGATAGCTCCTCTCGTAAATTAGTATATGTAGGATCTTTCAATGTTCGTGGCGTTAGTCAAAATTTGAAAGTGTTGCGTATATATGGATAAATGTGATGGAGAGTGCTGCCAACAATAAATCGTACGAGAAAAGTTACCATAGAACTTTGCCAAGAGAAAATGCAATAAACAATAGGATGAAACTTACGAGTGGTGACTAAGATGATCGTCGTAGTAAGAAAATAAGTACTATCGTATTGGAATTGTTGAAGGTTTAATATTCTGAAGTGGAATAGTGCTTCGCGTGGCCCGTCTTCTTTTGTGTCAGTCACGTCTGAAAACGTTCGGAGATGCGCATCTGTTGTCGATTGCCAGAATGTATGTTGACAGTAGCGTATCAAAGCGGGCTCAAGTAATCTGATGGTGTTATAACATATGAGGAAATTTTCAATATGAGTTTTAGAGGTGTTCAGAATTACTTTCTTTGCGGATGTATCCCGCTTCTTTAGCAATATTTTGATCATGGAGAAGAAATCGTATTAAAGTTCTTCCAACACGTATTGATTTCGAAGGCACTACTTAGACGACAGAATCTGTCCAGCGGAAAAGAGCCAAGATTTATTATTTTTTGTCATACTATTACTTGTGCACGATAACCGTTCTCGGTCGCTTTAGTATTGATCGGTCGTCGATTTGTTCAGTTCCATAAACGCTTAAACAAATAGGAATATAATCTGAAACCAAATTTTGTAGACGCGAGAAAATTGAGAGATTTTCATTCAGGAATGATAGAGTGGTATCTGAATTGGAGTATTCCATCATGTATCACTATAGCCAGAGAAGAACTTTTGTTCCCTTTTCTGAAAGAATGAATTATAGCGTCATAAATACAGTCATTCGAATGCATGAAGTTTGCTTATTTTCTTGCTAAACCCAATCAGATTGAAGTGATTTATGAATCAATCAAAACGTAACCATAGTGGTTGAGAAATGATTGATAGAAGGGTTCTTGAGATCGAGGATCATGAACTCGGTGTTAGCTTCGTAATAAAACGTTTTGTTCAGCTTTTTTTAGACAAAGAAAGATATTTTTGTAATGAAGTTTTTTTTCAGGCGATAGTGCATTCAGCAGCAATATCTAGAGCCAAACGAATAGCTGACTTACATCCGATCATTGGATCTCCGTAGTCACCAGCATATTAATTACATCAGAATTCTAGAAGTAGCTATAATTACACAGACCTCATCTGCCGTCAGCCACTCAAAATAATGCTTTCTTTGTCAAGCATTGCTTTCGAAAGTCACAGTAACACAAAGGGAGCCATTTTGAAGGAGGATTAGAAGAAAATGGATGATTCCTATGGAAAGTGATTCTAAACTAGATGCAAGAGTGAAAATGTAAATGTAGCAGCAAGCTGCGAGTAGCCGACGAACTAGACGTTAATTGAGCTTACTCACATATCCAGAATGTGTCTATTTCACGATAAAACACACGCTTATATACAGAAGAGGAAAAAGAGAGATGACGCCGGGAAAGTATAATATATAGGTCAGAGAATAAACAGCAGAAAGAAATAAGCGATGTCATTGTCGTTACAAGTGCATTAAAATACAACACAGAACAGAGAGTACAAACAAACGAGAATTCTTGGTACTGTGTTCAAATAAAAGCAAACTATTCGTTCTATGATAAACTCTTCATTATATCCGTTAATCATTTCTAAAGCATCCACTACATCCTCATTTGGATTATGTCTATCACGAGACTAACTCAGGTCGACCATTCCGGCGGCTGGATCCGTTGAAATCTGAGTCGACTTTGGTACAGCTCTTCTCGATTCCGGCACAGTTTTCGCTGATTCCAGCAGGTTTTCGCTCGAATCGACCGTGCCGTCATAACTTGGGAAATCGTATCGGGCATCCTTCATAACATCGGCAATATTCTGAATTCATTTTTTCTTTCTTTTTCTCATGCAAGATCTCTTCCACGAGTGCCCGAGCCGGTACATAAAGTAAACAATATCAACAGAATGATGACGGAGAGAAACATTTTTCGACACGAAATTATTCCTGGTAGCAAGTCTACCAGCCAGCCCCCACTGAAAACATTCAGTCAGATATCACTTTCCGGAACAGGAATAACTCAGCAACTATATAGTCATCTAACAACCCCCTAATTCCTTGCGATCATAAACAAAATGACGGACACATCACCACACGGCACCGTGCGTAAGAGTATACAGATGTGAAAGCTCTCTCACTTTATTTTGCCACAGTCGGAATCACCTATTCCACAGCCCTTTCCAATCCTAATCGCCGTTTACATTAAACTAAACATCATTTTATCCCAGTCTTTTCTACAATTGCATTTTCTTGCAACTGAAAACTACCGAAATCTCACTTGCACTGGTCCCACCACTTGCACCACCGATCCTAAGCAGCTTCACCAATCATACTCACATGAATAACGACATAAATAATGTTTACAATTATATTTCTAGGAATGGGCAATCCACAATATATCAACAACGCCACCTTCCAAGGAGCTGACAACAATCCCGACGTTCAGAATCTCAATCCAGGCACACAAGGTGTCGACTTCAACGAGCCTAACTCATCGGTCCTCATTCCATTTACACCTGGCATAACACCCATCCTCAGCTCAGTTTCCGTTCCTCCGAACACATCTAACGTCGACAGCATCACTGTCATCGTCAGAGGACCCGACGGAACAGTATTTATCAACGAAACCACACCATCAGGAACGACAATAGTCACTGCCACGTACACACAACCTCTACCCGAAAACAGCACAGTGACCATTACGTTCCACACACCAGATGATTCGCCTGCAGAAGGTGTCACAGTTTCTATTATTGCATGCTACACGCCATCGGAAGCCACGACAGTTATTACAAGTGGAACAGTGCCACCAACTATTTCTGGCTCAACTCCATCCATCACCATCAGCAGTGTCATCACTCAAACAACTGGCACTACAGCCACACCCGGTACAGGATTGAGCACATTGACACCAGGAACTGGAGCCACTGGAGCCACTGGAGCAACGCAAGGCACCGGAGCAACGCAAGGAACAGGAGCAACACAAGGTACTGGCGCTACACAAGGTACTGGTGCTACACAGGGAACTGCAGGCACTGGAGCTACTCAAGGAACACCAGGAACCGGAGTAAGCACACTGACACCAGGAACCGGAGCCACCCAAGGAACACCAGGCACAGCACCAACTGGAGCTACTGGAGCTACTGGAGCTACTGGAACTCAAGAAACAACTGCAGTGACGACTACTGTGATATGTCCACTGACGGAAGGTGAGTGTGAACCCAGCAGATATTGATGTTTGGGAGGAAAGTGCGGTGTTAGGGATTTCGGCGAATGATGCACGTTTGTTTTGGTCATAGATGTGTGTGATGTTCATTGAAGTACGAGATTAGAGATATGAATAAGTGATCATTGTGTAGATGGCATAGGAAAGACGTGTAAGGTTCGTTTGATATGAAGTGTACCGAACTGTGTTAAGCGTATCCTGTACACAGGTGTGCTGTTGGACATTTGGTGAAACTTTCACCGAAACCGGAGCGGTTTATATCGGGAAATTGAATTCGTCGAAATTGACGTCTGTTGAATATGTGCAACTATGCGCGAAATGGGACTTTTTTGTAAAGGAGGAAAATTCCAATTGCACCAGGAACTCACCTTTCACCTGTATTAAAGTAGTGGACTAAAATCGTTACGATACCTTTAAAACTTTCCCGGGTACATGTTTGTCATAATCGTTATGACTCTCGGTGGTTTTATGTACTCTCACATTTTTCGTCATATGTGTAGGTATGGGCAATCCACAATATATCAACAACGCCACCTTCCAAGGAGCTGACAACAATCCCGACGTTCAGAATCTCAATCCAGGCACACAAGGTGTTGACTTCAACGAGCCTAACTCA